GCCTAGAGTGGGATCAGAATGCTTAGAAGCTGCCAACTGTAGGCCTAGGCCCCTCAGACTTAGCTGCGTAAGCCTGTAGGCCTAGCCTAGGCCTAGTTTATGCCAGTGTAAGTAGTATCAATGCAAATATATAGGAATTTGGGTCAACCCCGATTTTACGAATACCCAAATTTACGAACGGCTCTGGGCCCGTGCCGTTCGTAAATGAGGTGTTCTACTGTACTGCTAAAAATTTTTTTAAAACAAACAAAAAGCAAACCCATACCAATCTTTCTCCTGAAAGGACTTCTAGAAGACGTATCAACATGCGTCCATCTCGAAGATCTGTGTACAGATCGACGATACGACAAGATACGCGCTGCAAATGGGAGTTCACCCATTTGGTAAACGTCTTCTTCTGTACCATCTCACGCTCATCTGAAAAGAATGATAGAATTTTAGTATGTTTATAAAAATGTTTTTAGTATGAAGCAGATGGTATCTTTTTACATACAATAAAAAATTTGTTAAATTTTGAATATATTCTCAATCATTCACGTAGAATACACAAAAAAAAATCCAGATGAGCATTTATAATTCTGTAAAGCTGACATCGTGTTAGCACAACCCTCTTTAGTAATGTCCTTGTAAGAAAAACTGACGACGGGTCAAGTTGTCAAGCAGTAGGCGCCGCTAACTATAGCGTTAACATAGACGCTGGTTTCAGCATCTTCCCACCCAGTTGGTAGAACGCTATGATGCTACAAGTTATAGTCCTATCTTATCACAGAAGCCTATATAATGTACCACTTCCGATATATTGTGCATAAATCTGTACATACAACAGCACCGAACATAGCTATAAATCTTTTCCTCGGCATTGCACATCTTGCGGTCTGCATATTTATTGTACTGACTATTACAAGGAATAGAATTTAGTTTACGAAGACGACTGCCACAAGTGAATTGGGTATAAAACTATTTTACTTCAGTAATTCATCAAGAAATTAAAAATAACTTTTTTGATGAGATCCAAGTTGGAATGAAATAACTATGCGAGGTAAAAAGTTGTCCATGCATGCCAGGTTTATTGTATTTATATTCCTAAATCGGCAATATTAAAAGACTTCATTGTGTTGAATAGGTAATTGATGATTAACAAACCCTACTGTAAAAATTCCACTTTGTGAATTATTAAAGTCATGCTTTATGTATAAAATAGTTATGTCTAAAATAGTTAAGAAAAAAAAAACAGTCTGTTTTATTTATTTATTTTTTTTTTTCAAAAAAATATTTTTGTTAATACGTTAGTGCAGGCTCCAATAATGTACTGTAAGTAATTCAAAATGGCTCCCATAATCAAACAGGGGTGTAATTATAGGGTATGGCTGTTCTACTAGGCAGTGTGCAGTATAAACTCAACGAATAGTGGGTGAATCATTTAAGTCAATATTTAACAATATATTGTATGTCGGCGGTAAAATGAATGAAATGACGAGCAGTTGGACCTTGGCTCTGTGCCATGGACTCTGACCTCTGACCTAACAATTGTGCAATCAAAATACTTGGTATGCAAGCAAGCTTCTCCCCAGATTGCTATTCAACATAATGAAGGTGGAAAAATTTTGAAAGACTATGTTTCAAATAATGGAATTAAGAAATCATTCTAACAAAGCTTTAAGTAAAATTTCAAAAAAGAGGGAAAGTAGACCCTAAGCTTGAATTATCGAATATAAACTTGCAATATAAACATTTTAATATTTACATTTTTTGGACTAAGCTGACTACATTATCAATATAAAGTAAATGCTGATGTTATTTTGGTTCAATTACAAATGAAAGTTTAACAACATTGAATATCTCTTATTATCAAATAAGCATTCTTTGAAAATTACAAAATACCTTGCAGAACAATTTCAAATAAACCATTCAACTTTTAAAACTAACCACTAACCTTACTGTACAGTGTGTACAGGCAAAAAATTAACGTTTAACTCACCAAAAAGATCGTATTTAGTGTCAGGACAAACTGTCTGTCCCGATTCTTTTGACTCAGACATACTGAACAAATTATGAGTAACGAGTTTCTACAATATTATATTATGACATACATCTACGCAAATGAGGTGACGAAGAAAAACTTACAATAAAGACGACAAGTAGACTCGCCACAAAAATTAGGTAGTTTAGCGCAAGACGGCATGTTTTCGCATCGTTCAATGTGTTAAAAGAAAATTAAAGTCCGTTCTTTACAACAAATGCGAAGAAGCTATCACAGTGCTTTCGATGCTGTTTGTACCTAGTGTCAAAGGTTCTATAAGAATATCGGAAATATTCACATTACAATTCTACGGGGAATCGAGGACGGAAATTTTGACTTAATAAGGTGTTGTTATGAATGCTTTAACAACTATTCAGCGATTTAGAAACAATTACGCTATTAATAATGCAAGATGATATCTATCCACTGTGGTAAAGTAAGGGTTCTTGGCTTCAAACTTACAGAAATTACAGAAACATTAAACATTTATAATTTTTTTTAAAAGAGTATGAATGACAGCTACTTTATATAGTAGCTAACTTTGAAATAAAAAAAAGATATTCTGAAATCAATATTATTAGAGACAGACTATTATTAGAACAGACGTGTACTGCATAAAACATTCATTGTTCCGACAGATTTTTATATGATGTAATTTTAAAAACCAGAGGTGACGGAACTAGGGGGTGCTGTGTTATGTAGAGTAATGTGTGACCGGAAATGGTCTGCAGTCAGTTGGTTGTTACCATGCGCCAGTGATGTTGGAGTATATAGTACAGCAATATGAAACTAGATGTGTATAAGAGACAGCCTTTACATTAGTTTCGGCCTCGTTGGTACC